AAAAATAATTAAAATAAACGCTTAATATATATTTAATTTACATCGAATTAAATACTGACAACTATTTTAATGTACACACGTTTTACAAAAATGTTAAATAAGTGAATTCTTTAAAGTTGTTAAGAAATTAGCTGCTGGAGGAAGCTGTTTTGACGCAATATAGCACGCCAATAACTCCGTAGATATATCTAAAATAAAGGTAATTCATGTTTAAATGACTGATAATTAAATACCGATACTTGTTTTTAAAGTACACATAACTCGCACAGTGCAACACGTTAACTGTTTGTCAAGCACCACAAAAGTAGCACAAGTTTGCTTTTTGTGTGGTAGGTGTCTCGCAGGTCCAGGTGTTTGTTTTTTTTTCACAGCAGCTTGAAACAATGCACTGCATCGTAGGTATAGGCTACAGTAGGTCATTTATCTAACACCTCGGAATGAATAAAAAGAACACCGTCACAAACGCACTTGGCCGTTTTCTAACACGGTCGCTCTCAGACCGGCCAGGTGAGCTCTTACCTGGCGGTTCGGTGAGTCCAGTTTATTCCCCACTGCATTCCAGAGGCGGGATGTCAACATGCGCAGGTTTCTGCTCCACTTTGAAGCCTGCTTCCTCTCAACAGGTCGTATCTGAACGTTTCAGGGTGAAATCTGAGAAGCAAGGCCCTCCTGCTGCTCCGGCATGGGCGTGGCACTCAGAAGAATGCTATAAAATCCTCCACACAGTGGGAGACACTTCTACAACCATACGTTTGAGCTATCCTATGTAACGTACAGTGAAATATTACCCCGCTTGAGCCGCATACAGTTCTGCTATATAATACCATGTGCTCTACTTTGACTGCCATATTGCAAAGTTAAACACACAGTGCGTTTAATCAACGGCGAGGACACTCTTATATTCCCATCCCTTAGTGCATGAATAATTAGTGCATTAATAATTTCCAACAGATGTGTTGGAACACGACTTTATTCTTGAGTCTAGTCCGGTATCCAGCTCCCAGGTTGGAAGTCAAAGAGTTTACTTGTGTCGTTTCAGTACAGCGCAGTGCAACAGACACAATAGACAACACACACACACACACACACACACACACACACACACACACACACACACACACACACACACACACACTTGCAGTACAGAGGAAGAAAATATTAGATTTCAGTGTTTTTTTTTACTTTTAGATTCGACCAACACTCCAGAACCAGTGAAGTAGATTCAGACGCACTGCAATGAGCATGGACTTGTAACTTGTGAGTGTACAATTAGGTCCATAGTAAGTACTGACATAGAGTTTATGATTGTGCACTAACTGCCTCTGAAATAGCACCAATTCACTAATTTTGTCCCATCTCCTTGGATTTAGGGTATTTCCATGTCTTGCCTCTGTAACCTTGCATAGTCTGGGGTCAGGCTCCATGAAGTTGAGATTAAGGTGGTGCACAGGTCACATCATCTAATGAATGACTCAGTTTTTCTGTGACCACACACAGCACGCCTTTATGCCTCTGGTTTGGATTAATCCTACAACAGCGTAAATCTGGGATGAGCAAACATCTCCATGATCGTTAACAGAAACCTTTGGAATATCAAAAATAACGAAAACAAATTTTTTGTTTATTTTCTGAAATAACACTCAAACAACACTGCATTTAAAGAAAATCATGACAAAAAAAACAAACATTTAGAAATGGCTTTAAACTCTAACAAAGTCATCATCAGTTATTAAAATTGTTCCTTCCATCTGCTTATAAGGCACATTAAAGATCAGTTTCACTATTCATGACATCTCAAATTATGACTCAAAAAGGCTGTAGACAATTATTGTCCAATTCAATAAACACTCTTCAACTCTACAAATTAAAATATGCAATCAATGAATATTTTAACTCCATTAGCAAAGTTAGAATTTTAGGCAAAAGTCCTGACATCAATCTGAGCTCTGTAAAAGCTGACTTGTGTCTTTGTAATGTTTAGTACTTTATGATTATTGAAATTTCTGACATACAGAGGCCGTCATCCATTAAACAGCTGATTCAGTCAATGCAAAATGAATCTGATTATCTCTGAGTTTGGGATTGGGGGAAAAAAATCCCAAGCCCCAAAAACCACAAAACAAAAAATTTTAAAAATGAAATTTTGATGGCAGTTAACTGACTAAACTAAAAAGTAACCTCAGGATTTAATTCACTGAAGCTCTGCAGGCTTTCATGATCCATCTGTCATCTATTATATTATCTAAATCTAATTACAAAGCCAACCAAAGAAATAGGAATCAAAGGAAGCGCAGTAATCCATTTTTACCATCAATAACTTATAATATTAAAGTTTGCACTCTGCCTCGTCAGCATTTGTCCATGAAATAAGTTATCCATAATAATTTGTCAAATATATGAAACGATATGTTAATACTGCAGAGCTGACAGAGAACTGATCCACCAGAGTCGAGGTGCCAAAGTATCCTGTTAAAGCTGGAGTTTACTCCTTTGCTCTCCACATATTCTTTGTTAATGCATGCATGCATCTGCTACATTTTGAAGGTAAAATGTTATCAGCTGTGCCACGTTTAAAGTACTATGTAAATATAGAGTCCATAAGGAGGCCCTGAGCCAGACTGTGACTCATGGTGGGGACAAAAAAAAACAAAAAAAAACAAAAAAACAAAAAACAACAAGAGTCCCACACCTGGAAACACTTCTCTGACATCACTGTTCAAACCATCTAACAAAAGAGTAGGGAAGGAATGTGCAGCATGGAGACTGTGTCCAAGTCCTGTCAGTGTAGAGTGATCTCTTCTTCTTCATCATCACATTCATCAGTAGCCGAGTCCTTACTTTCATTCCCATTTCGCTGCAGTAACGGCAGCTCAAGTTCTGGGCTCTTACTCTTGAGCTGCCTTAAAGAAGGACCCTTATCTGATGGAAGATAGAAAATTTACACCATCAGCATGGTCACCACCCTGCAAAGTCTCCTTCCTCCTTTCCTTTTTAAAGATTCTGAAGAAACCTGTGACATTACATGTAGAAAATGTGATATGTAAACTAGAAATCGGAGAACAGACTGTTCGGTGAACAAGGGCACATTCTCAAACGTAACTTAAAATTAAAAAATTTACATATTCAAAATTCCTGGATTTTACTAAAAGGGAGCTTACCAATGGTTTTTGTGTAGAAAATAAAAATATATTATATGCCATTAAAAAAAATGCTTTGAGTATTTTTATGTTTTTAGGATGTAGAGCAGTAAATATGGTGACAACATAAATAAAACTTACTTTTAGAATAATATGTCTTGAGTCCCACGTGTAATGAAATACCACACAGACACACAGCGAATCCCAGCCAGTTGAGCATACTCATTTTGTCTCCCATCAGAAAAGCGGCTAAAAGCAGAGTGCATACTTCCTGCAGGAAATCAACACAAGGAACAGAGAAGACTTCATTAGACAGCTCTGAAAAAACCCAAGTCCACATGTAACACAGTAACAATCCCTTATTTATTACATAACATTTTTAGAACATATTTACAAGTAAGTACACTGAGATCAAAAACAAAACAATGTATGTGTAGACATACTTAGTCAATAAAGTTGATTTTCATAATAAAGATGTTATATGCTTACATCCAAAGCCCTAGTGAACCCTCTGATCTGTCAGAACATCCACAAAGATTACACATAACTGCTTTAGTAGCTCAGAGTAAGCACCAAAAGAACCGCAACCTCCCATATTAGACTCAGCTATGGCTCTGGTATTGCGGACAGATTTTCTTTGGCTTCACCAATCTAATTCAATTCTATTGATATAGCACCAATTCACAACAGCAGTCACCTCAAGGCACTTCTAGTGGCAGCCATCCACCAGCTGGAGGTGAAAAAAAAGATGTTGACAACACAGAAAGTAAGTAATTACCTTAAAGATCCCTGATATGGATAAGGTGAGGCTGGAGGTTCGGGAGACCAGCAGGAACTCAGAGAAGCCCAAACCAAAGGCCAGCAAGCCGCCAATGCTTAATGTGAAGAGGGAATACAGGAGAGGCGAGAGCTCCGTCACCCGGAATAACTTCTCTGAGGTGCTGAGGCTCAGCCCTGCAGGCACAGAGGAAAGAATCAGGACAGATTTTTTAGGAGTGGCAGCACTCCAGGTAGATCGGCAATTACGCAGTTACAATAGTTTTCCACGGACTGCTTATAGGGCTTGCCCACTCATGTCTTTTGAAAGTCCAATATCTTGTAGAGATTTTATAAAGGAGTTCCTTTTTGTTCTTCTAATGAGAGGCGTGTGGTGAACCACACTGCCACTTCTGCTTGAATCAGCAGTGTTTTATTTGTAGATTACAGCTCTGGTGTGCAATGTTACGTGCTTGACTGTGGCACAAAAGCAGAGGCCCTCTGTCACTGAGCTACATCTGGACTGATGTGCTCATGTGAGTCCCCTCAGTAAGGCTGCCCTTAAGAACAGTGAGACCACTTCTCGTAAATTCCATTTCATAAATTATAAAGAATTTGGGATATCATTTATCTGAAGTGAAGGGAGCAGGACCACACCTCAAACAATCCCCTTCCACTCCAACGTCCACAAATGCATACTTGTCCCACACACTTGTTTGTTCTTGTTCCTGTGCCCCATCGTCTCACTCCCATGTCATCTCTGATCTGCCAGGCCAGGATGAACCGCGAGGAGAGAGAAGACGAGGCAACAGGAGTTTAACAAAATGCGAGATTCTTGCAGCCTTTAAAGCAGTGTCGGTGAAAAGAACTGTGGCTACATTACTGGACCAGTTTTTTGCTTTTAATTACATTCACAGTGTGGCACAGTGTGACGCATGGATCTCTGCCTTTGTTTATTATGTCATACGTTTTAGGAATTGAGACGGACTTCAAGACTCTGCACTGCAACTGATGTACAGGTGGGAGTACAGAGGAGAGACGTCACAAGGGAGCTCAAAGCAGAGAAATGAGAAGAGCTCGTAGGGTGCTAGAGCATATTTGCAATTTCAACACACTGGCCGTTGTATTGTGCTGAAACCAATCAGGGCTGTGTTTTAAATTTCACAACTTTTCACACTTTGGTTCTTGGGCCTGCCACAGAGTCCAGTAGCAGAAGGAAAAGAAACACTGTGGGTGCCCATTAATCAAGTACCTGCTACAGGGCTTTGATAATCCTCCACTTTCTGCAGCTGAGCTGAACCCCTGAGAAACGACTGCTAATCTATTACACATGTGAGCTATTGCCTATTTACATGTAAATGAGGTGTGAGTGTCAGAATAGGCACCGTGTTGACACATAATCAGTTTCTTATGACCATCACGCTGCACAGTGGGGTCTGTAAAGGTTTTCAAAAGACTTGAAATGCCATAATTAGGGGCTACAAAAGCTCACACAATTCAAATTAGAACAACGATTAAGGGATTTAGAAAAAAAAACACAGCACACAGATTTGAGTGCCGACTTGGCTGAAAGCATTAAAGATGTAAGAAAACAACTAAGCGATCTGTCTATGGAGGAAATAGAAAAGAAACTGAGATTCACAAAACAAACATTTTATGAGTCTGGTTCCAAAGCAACCAAAATGCTGGCTAAACGGTTAAAATCAATACAAATAAGTAATGCAGTTAATAAGATTAGAGATCCAAACACCAAGGAACTACTATATGAACCAACACAGATAAAAAAAAAAAAAAAAGCCTTTCAAAAATACTATAAAACATCGTATAATCAACCCGACCAGAAAGACGGACAAGAAATTGAAGAGTACTTGGCTCAGTTAGACCTTCCTTCTATTGGGACAACTCAAAATGAATTTTTAACTAAACCAATCACTAAGGAAGAACTGGATAAGGCAATAAGGAGATTGAAATCTAATAAAAGTCCAGGGAGTGATGGGTATCCCAATGAGTGGTATAAGACGTTTAAAGAGGACTTGGCTCCTATTTTGATAGATTCTTTTAACTGGACATTAAAACACGCTAAAACTCCACCCTCTTGGAAAGAGGCCATTATATCAGTCTTACCAAAAGAAGGTAAAAACAAGGAAAACTGTGACTCTTATCGCCCAATCTCTATTTTAAATGTGGATTATAAATTATTTACATCCATAATCACAAGACGCTTAGAGCTGTTTCTCCCAGATCTGGTGGATGAAGACCAGACAGGGTTCATTAAGGGGCGACAGACACAAGATAATATACGACGCACATTGCATATAATTAATGAAGTTAATAAAGAGAAAATCCCAACAGCCTTAGTGAGCTTAGATGCTGAAAAGGCCTTTGATAGAGTCTCTTGGATATTTCTTTTTGCTGTTTTGAAAAGAATGGGCTTTAACAGTATCTTCATCGAGTGTATACAATCCTTGTACCACAGGCCATTGGCTAGAGGGGACCTGACAGACAGTTTTGAGCTCTTCAGAGGAACCAGGCAGGGTTGCTGAATCCAGCCCTTTTTGCTCTGTATATCGAGCCTTTGGCTCTGTGATGGCATGCCACACATGGTAAGCTCCACACCTCACCACTAGTTGATTCACCTTAGTTTAATTTACAGTCGCTACTTTAAAATATTCTACTTATTGTTCAATATTGTTTCTTTATTAAATGTATGTATTTTTCCATCACACCTTCCCATGTTTATATGGCGTGCACACATTAACCTTAAGGTCAAAGTTCTGTTTTATGTTATATTAATACATCTTTCTTTGTTTGAGTTACCTGGGGGTTGGCTTCTCCTCCTGTCTGGCAAAAGGTGTGGCAAAGGGCTGGGAGAGCTGAAGTACTACTGACAGCCTAATTGGATTGCACCACATGCTTGATTGCCTGGGGGGTGTTTCATGTTTGTTTAATTGTTTTGTATTAGTTGCTTATATGGCAGCCATTTTGTTTTCCCCGTGTGTGTCATTTGGTTTAGCTAAACCAGTATTTAAGTTCCCCCGTGTGTCATTTCAGCAGGTCAGTTTATCATATGTTTGTTTGAGGTTTTGGTAATTATTATCTTGAGTTTAGTCTATTGAGTTGACCTCTTTTATTGGTCTGCCTGTTTAAGTTTTGGCTTTGTTAAATATATTTTCATATTTTGGGGTCAATAAAACCCCTTTTTTTGAATTAAAACCACCTGTGTCCTTTATGCTTTACTGCTTGGTCCCTGACAGGCTCAGTATATACAGCAAAGTGCAGACTTAAAAAGGGGTTTTAGTTTCTAAAATTGAACAACGAATAGGTCTCTTTGCTGATGATATAATTATATACCTACAGGATCCTGACACGACCTTTCCTCGATTGATTAAAGCATTAAAATATTTTGGCAAAAATTCAGGGTATAAACTAAATATCGTAAATGGTAAATGGCCTGCATTTGTATAGCGCTTTTCTAGTCATTAATAAGGACCCCAAAGTGCTTTACACTACATTCAGTCATTCACCCATTCACACACTGGCGATAGCAAGCTACATTGTAGCCACAGCTGCCCTGGGGCGCAAAGACAGAGGCGAGGCTGCCGGACACAGGGAAAGACTCAAGTACTTTGTCTGAATTATTTCCCCAAAGATTCAATTCAAAACGAATATAAATTAAAATGGGACTCAAATAAGATCAAATATTTAAGTGTCTATCTAACTAGTGAAATAAGTTCACTATACGAGGCAAATTATGTAAAGATTAGTAATACAATCCAAAAAGATTTGATTAAATGGGCTCCACTTGTCATGGACCTTAGCTCAAGAATAGAGGTAATAAAAAATGAATGAGCTTCCTCGACTACTGTATCTATTCACTTCATTGCCAGTCCATATACCTGATGCACAATTTGGTAGATGGGATAAATTAGTTAGTAGATTTATTTGGAAAGGGACAAAGCCAAGAATAAGATTTAAAATACTCCAATTAAGAAAAGAAAAAGGAGGACTTGCCCTCCCGAATTTCAAGGAATATTGTTTACTGGTGTTCACCGGATTACACCTCAAAATGGAAGCATATGGAGATAAATTATTGCTCATCATGTCATCCACAAGCAAGATTGGGAGGAGAAACTATCCAGTCTACGAACACAAATCTCATTACTGAATTCACTATTAAACTCTGGTGGATTATAGTGAAGAAATATAGAATTATAGAAGACTGTAAATTGCTGATTTGGCCTGCATATTCTCGAAAATTCCAAAGTGGACAATGGGATAGTACATTTTTAAGATGGGTCAATAAAGGAATTACAGCAATGTGCACATTAATAGACGGGAAAACATTAAAATCCTTTGAGAATCTACAGAGACAGTTTGGACTGGATAAATCAGATTTATTTAGGTATTTTCAATTAAGACATTTTTACAAATTAGGAAGAAGCTCTTGAGAGAAGGAAGCCATATAATAGAAATAATAACAGGTGCATATAAAAATCCTCCATCAAGAATTTTATCGAAATTATATAATGGTCTGCAAAATTTGAATAGGAATGAAACATTATATATCAAACAAAAGTAGGAATCTGAATTACATCTTGAGTTGTCAGAGGATGACTGGCGATCCGTATGTATCACACAGCATAATTCCACCAGCTCTAGACGATGGAGAGAATATGGCTGGAAAAATGTGATTAGGTTCTTTATTACTCCTTATATCAAAAGCAAGCAGCTGAAAACAATGCTGGAGATTATGTGGAGACTGGGACGCCAATCATTCTCATGTGTTTTGGAAGTGTAAAGATGTCAAACCTTACTGGGAAAGCATTGCGGTAACAATGAAGAAAGTGCTGGGGTATGACGTGCCGTGTAAGGCACGAGTATTTTGGAATATGTGAAAATGTAAGGAGGACCATTACTTGTTTAAAATTATGTTGTCGTCAAGCAAAAAGGTAATAACAAAAAACTGGCTGAAAAGTGACCCTTTAAAATTGGAAGAATGGACTGATGTAATCGAGGACATATATATAAATGGAGAAAATGACCTACACCTTGAGACTGAAATCTGACAAACACCGAAAACAGTGGACAAAATGGATAGCCTATAAGACTCACTCAGCCCCATAAGGCAGGGACCTCTCCTCCTTGTTTTTGTTTTTTTTTTTTCCCTCTTCCACAGATTAGGTGTCCTTTATTCCTTTTAGTTTGTTTCTTTTTTCATATTTTTGTTTGCATGTACTATAAATTTGGAAAAAGTACAAAATAAAAAGTTTTAAAAAAAATAAAATTAGGGGCTACAGAGCTTAATTTAATGCAGCGACAAAACATGAAAGACAATGAACTTATGTCTATACTCACCTTCATTAAACAGGAAGAGAGGAAAGAGCCCAAGGAACATGAGAGGTTGGAGGTGGTACATGGCATCTATTGGGTTTTGAAGGCCTAAAACAGTGTGACATGAAAAAGATGAAAAATGCAGGGAACTGTGTCCCAGCTGGGAAACCTCAAATCATAGCAGAGTTTTAAATCAGTGCTTTACAAGCCTGGCATATAGTTAAAGTTACTGATGTTGGGCTTCAATGTGTTTACTTTGTAAATACTTATGGATAGATGTTGCTGTATAAACTCAGAGGAAAGACAGTGGGAAGCAACAACCCCACTTCACCTGCTGTTAATGTTGTGTCAAAACCTGCATTAGAGTCATCACTGGTGGATCTTGTTAACTTGTTGTAGACCATTCAAGGATAACGGCTAGGTTGAAACCACATAAGATATTTTAGGTCTCTATGATAGTTGTTTTATTTTTTTTTTTGTATTTCACACCAATCCTCTTTGAAATGGCGTGTGTATCATGTTTTACTGTATATCTGATGATAGCCACAGCCCAAAATTCATTGGTGTAGATCCAGGTTATAGGCTTTTTAACTTCTTTGGAAGCTGTCACTCCACAGTGGCTGAACACTTACCCAGCTCTGCTTTCTGCGTGAGGACCTGAGTGAGGGTCCATCGAATCCCCCCTATGAAGGATGCTAGGAGCACCAGAATAAAGCCTTCCAGATTAAACTGGGTCGACTCAAAGGTAAACATAAAGAGACCGCAGGAGATCAACAGGACCACCAGGATCAGAAACGGGTTCTGGATTAAAAGGGAGAAAAGACAACGACACGCAGCAGTTTCAAGTTAAAATTGCACAGGAAACAGAAGAAGAAAGTAGAGGATAACAGGTAAAAGAAGAACAGAACAAAGCACAAGCTAGAGGAGAGAGTAGACGAGAGGTAATGATTGCTCATTACTGCTCATGTGATGAAACCCCCATCAAGCTGCACAAAAACACCACTGTGCTCTGTAACAGGAAGTGATACAATACCACAGTTAGAGCTCAAACGCCTCAAAGCGCTGTGACTGACTGTTGTGATTTGGTGCTAAAGGTGGACAGAATTAAATCTTTAAGCTATGACACCATTAAGAAAAATTGGCAAATTTATAACCGAACCGGTTATAAATTTGTGCAGGTGCAGGACTTTTTTCAGATTAGAAAGTTCTTATGTTCTGCTACAGCCACAGTGCACTTTGTGAACGTTGCTGGATGTCTGCTTTGTGCATTGCGCCACAATCGAGGAAACAGACTAAAAGAATTGCCTCTTGCATCATTTTGCCAGTGTAAGAAGCATGCTTAATTCTCCAGTTGTGTCTGTGTGACATTAAAGTGAAGACAAAACTGCAGTGTTAGCACTGCTGTCAGTGTCATGTGATCGGTACACTCACCGGCTCCTCCAGTTTAAAGACCAGAGAGAAAAACAGGATAAAAAGCACTGCTGAGGACTTGGTCATGGTATACCTTGAATGACACAAAATAAAAGTCGTAGAATATGTAAAGAACAATACAATGACTGGTTAAGATAAAATACTGACACATATGAACTTCTAATAAAAATGTCCAAACCACAAACTTACAGGCTAATGGTGATGAAGAGGAAGCTCCAATTGGAAAGTCCAATATCCAGCGCTGTTGCGATGGCTGCAGGTAAGAAGGACAGAACTTAGGAGTACAGGATGACAGGTTCATTTTAAAACCACTCATTTCAGTGCATTTAAAGTGACTAAACGCATTTAGAGCACAAATACTAAAAAACAACAACAACAACAACAACAACAACAACAACAACAACAACATGTATGTATATAATCAATCCCACATATTAAAATCACCTTGATGTCGTTTTAGTGCATAAAGTAAAACAGAACAAAATATTAATTACTTTTGATTTAATTTCTCTGGATTTTTGCTTTTCTTAGTCTTTGATTCACTTTTTCCTTCTGACTCTTTTAAACTAATCTTATTACAACTTAAGTTTGTGCAGAATTTTAGTTTAAATGAGGCAAAACTGGTTTGGAACGGTTCATTTAATGCACTTGCTTTTAGATATCTTCATCATTCTCGTCGGGGTTGTCGTATTTATTCTCTCCACGTGGACTTTAGACAAAGCATTCCACAGAGCTTAGTCAATCGGTGAACCCGATAAGAGGCGACTGTCCCCCGTCTAAATCACCAGTCTCCAGACGCAAGATAAAACTCACCCGTGGGTGCTACTTTTCTGAGGTACTCTTTCCACCTCAGAGTAACGCGAGGTTTCCCTGTCCACCACTGCACAGCCTGTCGTGTCAGAGCTGACAGACAGAAGATGATGGTGAGGTGAACTAAAGTCATGAAGAGGGGGTAATGGAAGCCCTAAGAAAGGGAGAGAAACAGTTGGGGTCATCTAGGGTGGACTAGTCAGTGTACGTCTCTTTCTCAGGATCCAGGAGATCCCCAGACAAGCAAAGCAGAGCGTCCTCAGGTGCTCATTTTCATTAATTACCTTTAATACAACCAAGCATGTTATAGGAAACTGACAAGGCTGTATGAGCTTCTTTACTCACCTTCATTAGCCATTTGTTATAGAATGTGATGCCTATAGAGAAGACATAGTAGAGAAGAACTAATCCAACAGTGCGCAGCCCCCTGCACAGGAACTGGACTGGGCACGCCATACGGGACTGCCAGGACCAGCTGTCCACAACACACAGCTACTGCAGAGGGGCCATCTCCGACCTGAACCCACATCCTCCCCGAACAGCCATACCAGACCTTTTTACAGCAGAAACACCGCAGAGAAGAAAAGCAAGGTAAGAGCAGGGCTGCGTTTGTGCATATTAATGCTAGTTAGTGGAACAGGCGCTCAGACAGAATTTAAGCGAAACCTATTTGATACAATGTTAGCATAACGGCAACATTCATTTTAGCTCAAATTAAACGTTATCAGCTACTAGCATTCTCTTAACTGGTTGTGCTAGCGGATAAGCAGCTGGTAACAATGTTATGCGAATCTTTAAAACTGTCCGTTAACCAACAGGAACATCAGACAACCCCAGCAGACGAACTCACCAGCAACAGTGCTCCAACAGTGACTGAGAGAGGAAGGCTCACTGGATAGCTGCTACGTTTTATAGGTCAAACTGGCTTCTTCGTTAACTTGCCTTATAGTTCATTAGCTAACATTAGCCTGTCATTTAGCATCTATATTGACTTGTTAACATTATTAGGCCAGTAATTAGCTATAATACTCAATCCGGTTGACTGAGATAAGCTTTGAACATCACTTGGCAGGGCAGGAGTCCACAGCAAGATCCACGGGGACGTGTCACTTACTCACGGCAGTGAGCACGTGCTGAGCCCCCGCGGTCAGGCTCTCAGTGTTTACTTAGAATCTGAGCCCTCTGTTCAAGCACCGAGATCCATTTCTTTCCACGAATGCTGTGATGTGTTGTTCTTCGATCAGCCACTTGAACAATGCTCCTGTTTCCACTCACACCACCAACTCTCCATCGCCCATTGTGCATAGTTTGTCTAGGTCTAAGGTTTAGCTAAAATAATACCAAATGAAATTGGCTTATCTTAAACACACGTGAATATAGCTTTTTACATTCTAAGCAAGCTACGTGTCGGTGATTCCCGCATACACCCGGCGATATGAAATTAAGTTTGGGCTTCCGATGCAATCAAACAGATCGTGCTTTAAAGGAAACTCACCGTCAGCTGTGTTGGCTATACTGACGAATAACACGAGTAAATTTAAACACTGGCCACAAGGGGGGAGTATCTGTGATTTCTAGCCCTGTCTGTTTCCTCTCCAAACCACCACTTCCTCAGTCAAGGAAACAAAAGCGGAAGTCGGCGCACTTAACAAGCTGTTGTTGTGAGACAGTCGTGAACAAGCACAATGTAAGGTTAATGCTAACGCGTATTTAACAATGAGCAGCTAATGTTGAGGTTTGAATAACGCTTGCGGGTGTTTTTCAGCAAATGGCGGAGGAGGAGGACGAGCCAGGCTTCGACGAAGAGTTGGAGGACGGCTCCGGCGGGGTGGATGTCGGCTACGGCAAGAGAAAGAGACTCTTCTCCAAGGAGCTCCGGTGCATGATGTACGGATTTGGAGATGACCAGAACCCTTACACGGAGTCTGTGGATATTCTGGAGGATCTGGTGATCGAGTTTATCACGGAAATGACCCACAAGGCCATGTCTATCGGGCGCCAGGGTCGCGTCCAGGTGGAGGACATCGTTTTCCTCATTCGCAAAGATCCCAGGAAGTTTGCTAGAGTCAAAGATCTGCTGACCATGAACGAGGAGCTGAAGAGAGCTCGGAAAGCTTTTGATGAAGCAAATTATGGCTCTTAAACTCACAACGGGACTGGTTGTTATTCCTCCCATGACCTTTGTTTCTTTTAATTTACTGTTCGTTTGCTCGTGAGTTCATTCAGTCTTCAGACTGCATGTTTGCGTCATGTGTGTTTATAGACCGTATAACAATAACAACGAATTTCAGTGTATATGCTTGATTTCAGACTTTTTGGTTATGTAAAATAAAGCAACTTGCCAATAGTTTTAAAATGACCAGGTCCTCATCTCTTGTGCACAAACAACTTTCTTTTTTTTTTTTAAGCACCAGAACCAGAAAACATAACACTTTGTTTTAAAGCACAGCATTGTGCTGTGTTACCAATCTGATACGTGAAGAGTGGATCTGCACAAGAATTTAAGCATGATTTTATTTTGAATAAGTAAAGAAAAAATAAGTATGTAACTTAAACCCACAGATTGAATCCTCAAATGTATGTGAAGTATCTAAAGAAAAGGTTTTAGATAGATTTAGGTTGTGTAAATCACATTACACGAGAAGGGTTGCTCTTCATGTCCCCCTTCTGGACACGCAGTGGTAATGAAACAAAAAACACAATACAGTAAATTAAGCCACAAACTGCTGAGCAGCTGAAATCCTATGTCAAGCACGAGTGGAAAAACAAACTCAAAAAAGAAGCCAATTTGCCTTGTAAAACTACACTTAGGCTGCTGCCCCCGCGACCCGGCCTCGGATAAAGCGGATGAAGATGGATGGAAACTACACCAGCTGGTGTCATCATCTCCCAAACACAGAGGGTTGTTAAACACAGAGGGAAACGTGTTCCAGTCCCAAGTTTTCAGGAGCAAGTTGCTGGTATTCAAAAATAGGAGTGTTCCAGATTTTTTTTTTTATGGAAAAGTGTCATAAATATTTGTCAAAGCAGACAGTTTGCAACCCGCAATTAAACTTTATCAGCACAGCCAGGAATACTAGACATGATGCCGACCTCATCTGTGCCCACATGCGTGATGAACTGAGGTTTTCCGACTGTCCGTATTGTCCAAATAATTCTGACCTCAGTCGAGGCTTTTGGTTATTTTAAAAGCAAAACTGGCTGTGGTTGGAACAAAACGGACAAAAAGAGGAAAAGAAACAGATTTTATTAATATTCCTCAAAACAAAATTATTACACAGACCATAAATATGACAGACCAACTACAAGTGAGCATGTGTTAGTTCATTTATTTCAAGCAAATTACTTCTTTGTACAGTGAAGTGGTTGAATTAATTGGTCTAAGCAGCAGGTAACAAGCTGCCCGTCTATCTAGAATACATCTAGATCAGAGCTTTACCAGCAGAGAGGGGGAGGGGGTCACTGATGACACGACATGCCATGCATACTGCAAAAGCTGTGTGCAGTGAAAAAAACCCCTGTTGCAGCCTTGCTGTCCTGTTACAGGGCTGGGTGTCAGCATGGCATCTAGGGGATGTCTGCATTTACAAGCGAGCCAGGGGAAAGATGTTGCCCAGCCAGCGACCCCCCACTGGGTGCTCTAGCTGTCTGTTGAGGACTTCTATAAGGATGGAGAAGAAAGGCAGTGAACCAGGTGGACAAGAGGGAGAAGGAGGGAGTGGGTCAGAATGGGGGTTCACAGAAGGGTGGAGGAATGTCCATGAGTCTTTCTTGTTCTACTGCACATTCTCCATCATCTTGAGGAATTCTGATAAAGAAAAGAGAAATTGGACAGCATTACATTTTACATCCATTTCTTTATTTACTTGAATAAACTGTAAAGGAACAGGTAGTAGTTCAGCTCAAGCAGGAAGCCGGGGTGTAATTTGATTTTAAGATGATGACAGGAGTGTAGGAACTGTACAACACAGCCTAGCAGGCAACAATATGGTCCCTAAAGTCTGACTGTAAAACCTGATATGCCATAGAACAAGACTGATACAGCTTATTGGTACTCTAGCAAAGCTGCAGCCTCTTAATAAACAGGATTTCCCCCCTCATGCACTCTCTACCTCCTTCATAGAGACTCCTCAAGGTTCAATAATAAGTGAGCTGACAGCTTCATCATTTTCATTTGACACATACCGTCAAAGTCCAGCATGCCGTCGCTGTTCTTGTCTCCTTCCTTCAGCAGCTCATCGATCTCCTCCTCTGAGATGGCCTCGCCGGTGCTGCGGATGATAAGGGCAAACTCTTCTCTGTCGATGTAACCGTCGCCGTTCCTGCGCACGCGATAACAACAAAATGTGCGTGAATGTAAAGATCGAGTAAAGGTGATGTAGCAACAAAAAAACCCCAAAACAAAACACGCGCGCGCGCGCGCACACACAAACGATTAGTGTAAACCGTGTGAGCGCGAGCTTACTTGTCAAACACACGGAAGCAGTCTGACAACTCTTCCTCGCTCTTTCCGGCCTGGTCCTCCTTCATCAGTCTCACCATCATGACCAAGAACTCCTCGAAGTCGATGGTGCCGCTACCTGAGGGTTTAGTGGAGCCACGTGATTGATACGCATCAGATCAACCCATTGTCGTGATAACTTTGTTGACCGTTTTACGCATGGAAACACCGGAAGTTCAATGGAACAACCCAGAATTTGTTAGTGCAGTAAAAATGTCATGTTGACGGGGTGTTTAGAAGTACCACCACGTCTAATTACTGAATTACCATAAAGTGTCCCTGTGTGTAAAAACACTTAAGACACACAGCTGTTCTGCTGTGTCGCCATCAGGCATAAACTATATTTCCCGTTTCTCACCGTCCTCATCGACCTCCTCGATGATCTCATCCAGCTCCTCTCTTGTCGGGTTCTGACCCAGCATCCTCATCACGTTACCCAACTCCTTGGTGCTGATATCACCGCCACCATCGGTGTCGAACAAGTCAAAGGCGGCCTTGAACTCTGGAGAAACGAGAATTGAATGAAGGCGTGTGTTTGTTCCAAGCTGGTCTCATTTCTCAGTTTGGTACTTTTCTGCTTTATTGTTCTTTTTCACCGAGCATTAATCGTTGCGATAGGACACTATTATCCTTTAAAATAGCACCCAGTTTGCTTTTATCGACTGAAAAACTGCGAGGTCCGCTTCTTTGTGAATAATTCTCATTGTGCTATTCTTGGTTTTTCTTTCATACCAGTTTGCTCCATCTGGCTTCACGCCGTGGATCTGCATTCTCTTTAGGCTGTACGAGCTCTTGCTGGTAGAAAAAAAATGATCTGAAGTAGAACTGATTGGCTTATTGTGTGATTGCATTTAAGGGTGGTATAATTCAAAACATGTATCACGCGTGTTTCATTTCATAGCTTACTGTAATGGCGTTATTTAGATTAAGCAATAGTACTGTACTCACCAGTCAACATATCCTCGCTCAGGTAGGAGCG